GAAGGATCCTAATTAGGGCTACCATTTTATGTAGCACAATTGTCCAACAGTATAAGTTAAATTAAAGACATTTTTGATCCCCTAACAAGCAAGAACTGCGCGAGGGGTGTGATACACAAAATACCAAGACTTGATTTTTCTCTCCAAGTTTCTGAGACTGGGTGGGTAAAGGTAAGACAAGGGTGAACAAAACTGATCTTCTAGATACCTTTGGCCTAGTGGACAAGATAGACAAAGGAATGGATAACCTTATTCAGTTTTACAAATGCTATAATCAGGATAAGCAAAAGAAATTGTGGAAGACTCAGAGTCCTTGACTAGACTTTGTGTTGGGAGTTAGGAAAGGCTTTTATGGAAGGCATATTGACTAGGTTGATTCTTGAAAGACAAGTGAATAGAAAGGGGAAGAGCTTTTAGGTAAAGAAAACAATATGGGCAAAGGCTTGGAATGGAAATGAAAACCAATCAGAGAATAGTGCATGCAAAGGAAGGTCCTAAGCAGATTCACGAACTGGAAAGCCGGCGAGAATGCTTTTGCCTAGTCCCAATAAAATATGATGGCCTGAACTACGTTAGAGGTAAGGGAGAGAAATGAGCTGTCAGCGAGCAGGGACTGTTGAGATGATGTCCAGTTTTCTATTAGGTAGATGGTAGCTATTGGGTGGATGGTGGCACCAATGTGAATATTGGTGAAGGGGAAAGATAAGGCAGTTTGAGATATGGAAGGATCTTTTTTAAAAAAAATCCATGAACTCTTCCACAAAATGGCAGTTGGATTTGTAGGTCTTGAGCTTATCAGGAGAAAGATCTGGGCGAGACATATCAGTTTGAGAATTCTCAACATATAAACCTGTAATTGAAACCATGCAATAGATATAGCATTCTTCCTATGGTATCCCATAAGCAGCCCTTCCAAAGACATTTTTACAGATAACTCCCGTGGTTAGTCTATTTCCTCAAGACTCATCTTACTCCTTGACTTATTCTCCATTTTACAAACTTCGCTGGTATTTAACTTGCCCCTAGGTTAGGGCTGGATGTGACTATGACCCTTGCTATTCTTTACCAAATAACTTTTATCCAAGAACCCATGATGATGTATCTAGAGCTTCCACAGCAGAATAATAATCTTTTCTCCCCTTAGCTCTAGGATGACGCTCTT